TTCGTGCCAATGTGACAGAGATATCTCATAACCCAGCTCCTTCTCCCATTGGATCATATAGGGCATTTTGTCTTTTGCAGGCCCCTGGAGAAGAGCATTGTAACATAGGGAGGTTTCAAGTGTTTGGCTGAAAGCATTGAGGGTACATTCACTACCGCTTCGGGAAGTACATCATGTGTTGTGTCTAACCTGGAAAACATTAAGTTTTTTACTCTCATGTACAAAAATAGGTCTCTCGGTAGCAAGTATTGTTTTTGGAGCCCTGGAAATGGTTTCATTTTATCCCACTCTAATAGATCATTCACCTTTTGAATACCTTTTGTGACCCACGATTTAATCGTTAGGTCTGGGGAGATGCTCATCAGCACCTCAATTGGTGCAGAATGGAATAGGGTGTCAGGTTTAATAATGTTTGAACTCCAGGATCTCCAAGCTTGTACTAGAAATTTGGAATTGTGTAGCATATGGTCACACTTGACCGGGGGCATTATGTTGGACCAAAGGGAGCTAGCGATGTTGTGTGGACTTATGCATGCATTCTCTAGGGACTGCCAAAGCGGTCGGGGGTCCGTATGTGAGTGTCGCAAAATTTTTATTCCTTGAGCTAGCGCCGTGGCCCTGTAATAGGCCTTGATGTCTGGTAATCCCAGCCCTCCCTTAATATAAGGGAGCCCTAAATAACGGTATGCCACTCAAGGTGGCTTTCGCTTCCACACATGTGCATTAATGGTAGATTGAAATTGATTAATAAGTTTGGTAGGCAGTTATATTGGCAACGTATGAAATAGGTAAAGGATGAGAGGCAGGATCATCATTTTTGGAGTTTATGCGACCCAACCAATAAACTTCTAATTCAGCTTATCTACTAGTGAGGTTTTTATCTTGCAATGGATAGCAATGGATAGTGGTTTTCTGTTGGCATTGTTTGGAGGGATTTAGTCAATTGAACCCCTAGATGGGACAGTTTTTTTTTCCTCCAATCAAGTGTGCATAGATTTTCTAGCTGGGTCACTACGGCTTGAGGGAGATCTATGGGTAAAGCTTGGGTTTTGGCTGTATTGTTTCTATAGTATGTGTCCATATGTGTTCAGGATTTCTAGTAGCTTCGGAATTGAAGTTGTTGGGTCCGAAAGAAACAGGAGAATATCATCCGCGAATAACGCTAATTTTTTCATACCCCCCGGGGTAACTAAACCTGGAATTTGTGTGTTCTGGTTAATTTGGCGTAAGATGGTTGCAAGCATAGGATAAAAACAAGCGGACATCCCTGGCGCGTGCCGTTGCATATATGGAAAGGTGTAGATAGGAACCCTGTGCTAAAAACTTTAGCTGTCGGTTGTTGATAAAGGGCCATGATACTAGATATGTACGCGGATGGGAAGTTCATTCTTTCTAGCGTTCGCTCCATGTAGCCCCAGTGCAATCGATCGAACGCCTTTTCGGCATCCAAAGCCACTCCGGGACGAACAGTTGGCCCAGGCTATGAGGTTCAGAAAAAGTCTGGTGTTGTCCTCAATTTGCCTGCTTGTTACAAAGCCCGCCTGTTCATCAGATATTAGTGTGAGAAGTAGAGGCTTAAGTCTTGTCGCCACTATTTTGGCATAGCGTTTTACGTCAGCGCTCAGTAAAGATATCGGGCGGAGATTGGCGCAGAATATCGGGTGTTGTTGGGTTTGGGCAACGTTATTATGCAGGCTTCTAGCATCTCCTTCGGAAGTATGCCTGAGTCTTTAATGGTGTTAAATAGCATGGTGAGGTGGGGGATTTGCTAAACTTTTCAAGGCTTCACGTTCACTCTTGGAAATATTGGCACTTGTCGTGGATTTTTTTATTAAGCAGATTCTTGCTGTCACCTTTCACATTTTAGGCAAATACCTTTGAGGATGCATTTTCTGAAGGGGTATCAAATAAACTCCAAAGTTTTAATGTTTCAATGTCGCTATCCATATCAATGGAAGGATGAGACTTAAAATATTCAGCAATCCTCAGTTTACGTGTTAACTTATATTGATCCACTTTCAATTCAAAACTATCAGCCTCAGACGTGGGGACAAATGACAAGCCTTTGGATAACAAATTCAATTCAATTTCAGTTAATATTCTATGTGACCTCTGGGTCCTGGGCCTCTTCCCCTTCTGGCGTTACGACGCCGGACGCAGAATGATGACGCAATCGGGGTTAATCACTAACCTGTGCAGGCTCCAGCTCGGGCAGTGTCAGTTGGAATCCCTTCACAATTTCGGTAAGTGAATATGTTGGTGGTGGGTATATAAGATAATGTGTTTACTGTACTAGCTCATCCTGATGAAAGTTTGGATTACAAACTGAAAGGTCGATCTGCTAACTTTGAGCAATTAAAGCTAAGTTTAACTTTAATGCGCACGCATATATGTAACTTTTTAAAAAGTACAAAAAGTATGAACTTATACTAATGCGTTAAATGTATCAGCATGTAGTTTTAGAGATAGTCTGGTCTTTCAAGTGATAATCTTTTTCTAAAGTTGCTTTTAACAACGGTGGTACAGCAATTACCTCCAATAGTTTGCTATGCCTATATCAATATAATACCTAGTTTAGTTTTAGAATCTTCCCAAACGAGAGAGAGACAGCACTATAGTTTATCTCCATAATCGTCAAGCACAGCCTCAGGCAATGTAATGTGGAAAGGACTCATTAGCAGACTTGGGGACATTTCCTCAAATGATTAAGAATCCTACAAATCTATATTTAGCAGAGGCCAGTTTTGTTTTTTCAAAATAAAACAAATGAAGATTAAATATCTGTGTTGGTGGTCATAGTGTGCAAGATGGGGAAGGCTGCAGACTCTCTTGGTAAAGGGTCAGACAAGGCAGGAAGTTATTAAGATTAATTGAACCAAGTCTGACCTTACAAAGCAACCACTGGTATTGCAAATGCTTTGGGTTCTGGCAGAGTTTATAAAACAGAGAAAGCTAGTTCTCACTGTGTGGGAGCAATCTGTATCATGTGGATTGCTTTACATAAGACAAGAAGGGGGCTGTAATAATGGATGTTAATAAAGGAAGCACAGATAAGTAAAAATAATTTCACAGTGAGCTACTTGGCAGTAATTGTGTTCTTATGTGTGTACGAGTAGTCATAGGAAATGCGAATTAACATGAACATATATAAGTATGAATTCAAAAAATATAATTCTGCATTTTGACAGCTATCTTTAGATACTTCAGTTTTTTAAACTGATTATTAATTATGGATAATTGTTTCAAATTAGAAATCTAATTTATTTAATTGATATTGGAAATTAGTTATTTAAATGAAACAGAGAGTCAGAATGTGTGATATTTAGGATGCAATCATACAATGTACAGCAGACAAACTATAACCGGTAATGACATTCTTTCCCAAAAGAGCTTACAATCTAGAGGAGGTTGGGCATAATTTTACAAAAGGAAGTGCAAAATTGGGTATTTGTTAGATTCAGTTCACACATTCATATACAACTTCAAAGTTAATTCTTCATTAGATATAATTCTGGAAAATTAAATATTGGCACATTTATTAATGTAAACATCTAACTTATTTTTTATTTATATTTATACAATTACAATACACTGCAGCATCAACAGTAGGGAGAGATACATTTTCTATATAAAAGAGCATCAGCATTTTTGTGATTACACATACTAGATAAAAAAAAATAATCACCCTAATTTTAATATAAAAGGTGATAAATACTAATCAATTGTTAGGTGTCAGCATCCCTTTGGTCACCCCCAGTCAGTGATCCTACATCAACCAAAACATATATACAGAAAAAAAGGGAACCAGCTGGTAATCTAAAAATAAAGAAATATACAAAACATGGTGTATTAATTAAATTATATGCGCTATTATTGAATGCACTCACAAGATAGTAGCGTAATCAGGCATATGGAAGGTGCCTCCCCCAATGTTAGAGGGGGCTATTATCTACTTCTCCTGACATTCACCACTAAGGAGCAGGACTCCAAGTGGTAGGCTGAAAAATAGGGTCTTTAATCGAAACAGCATAAAATTCTTAAAAACAATAAATGTGTGTTCGGTCCTACGCGTTTCGTCCTAGAGATATAGGACTTCCTCAGGGACCAAGCAATAAAAACAATGACAAGAATTACAAATGCAGCAAAAAAAGCAGCCTAACAACCCCCTCCCACCAGTCTCTTAAATAGGGCTAATCCCTAGCTTTATCTGTGATCCATTGGGCGTCTTCTTTCTTCTGATTGGACTTTGTGTTTATTTCAGTCACCTGTTGTTGTTAAAGCAATCTTTCTTCTATTTTTCGCAGCTGTCCTTTTCACTTTCATCAGTGTAACCGGAAGTAGTGTGCATTCCAACAGTATACTTCCATGTATTCCAAATAACCGGAAATATGCATTCCAGCTATTATTGATATGCATTCCATATCCAGATGATCATCTATAATACCTTAGTATTGCAGTTGTTATAAGGCCCCTACAGGAGATTGTAATAAAGGAAAAGCTGTGCTAAGAAGAAAAGACTATTAGGATATAATAAATGACATATCAGAAATGCATACACCTAGTCTCACCGTAATCCATAGTTGTTTAAATCTCCTTTCATAAATAAAATAAGTTTCATTTAGAAGTTAAAATAATGTTATAAAAAATGTAAATTAGTATATTTCTCAGAAGTGATGTATATTTTAGTCAATGTTTTATTTATGAAAAAGAAAAAAAGAGGAAAAAAGGGTGCGCCTTAAAAACCTGAAAGTGATACTTATGTGGATATGTAACAGTCCATGCAGTTCTGCAATAGTCCAATATTAGAGTGATTCACGTGGGCAGAAGGAGATCCTTGTAGGACAGCGAGCGAAGTATATGGTCACAATTGTGAGCTCGTAGTCCAGAGGTATACATATGGAGAAAAGCAGAAGACAAAAGACTCCAATGGTGCAGTATGTCTTAATCAGAAAAAATATATTGGATAAAATAAAAAGAAACACTATCCAGGGCTATAATCCCAGCTCTGATTTATATGGCATGAAGAGGAACAAGGATATGTGGAGTGTCTCTGGTGTTCTTCGGTATAGCAGTCCAATAGGATAATCCTGCTCGGGATAAAGATAAAATATATAGTGCTCCCTGAATAGCTGTTATGGTTTTGATAATAAAAAGTAGGCTAAAATATACTCATGATATTATGAGCAGGTGCACTGCTTGATGGATAGCGCGTGGGTGGTACAATCCCCACCTTGGGATTCTTGATGCTTCTTGTGAGTCGTAGGACAGTGGTGTCAGGTCAGGATAAAAGGTAAAATAATAAAATACCAAAATTATAATAGAAAAGGGTATATGGCAACAATATAGAAAGTGGGCAAACATTCCTTTATTTACACTTAACAAATATTAAAAGATTTCTAGACGCGTTTCGCCATTGCTGGCTTCATCAAGTAGAAACTCATAGGAGGTTTTATTTATCATGTGATTAGTGCCTCAACAATTTTAATCTGTGTGTAATAAAAAAATATTATACAATGAGAAAATTAATAATAAACATGAACATATGATAAATAGTAGCCACACATACCCGCCCTAAATCCCCTCCCATACTTTATATTCTACCATCTTTTATATATATTTATATGTATACTATAAAAAGTTTCATTTGGATATCTGGAAAAATAACAGTGAAAGATGGTAAGACAGCAATAATGAATTGATGACACTAATAGACTGAGAACAGGGTGGAGAAAAATACAAATTCCCACGTTTTAACAAATTAGAAAGTTCGAAATTCACAGGAAACAGGCTAGATTCACATTTTACCCCTTGGGTTCCAAATTCTGCAGTTTGTGGATCCTGTAAGTCTCCAGCTGTGATAATTTCTTAACCTGGTCACCCCCTCTCCAATGAGGCAAAACCTTTTCAATCCCCATACACTTGAAAAAAGAGAAAAGTGGACAGTTGTTGCAATGGATTGAAACAGAGAGTCTTTCTGATGTTATTAATATGTCCCATGAATCTTATTTTAAGTATTCTTTTAGTTAAACCGACATATTGTTTTCCGACACGGACACTGCAGAAAATAAACCACAAAGTCCGTGCGGCATCCAACCTCTGATCTGATTTTAAAAGATTTACCTGTAACAAACTAGTAAATTGATCCGTTCTCTCTATATATACTGTATGGCAAGCCTTACAGGAATTTCAACCCCTAAAATATGGGAATTATGGTGTTGTTTTTGTCCTTAATGGCATAACTGGGTTCTAGTAATTTTTAAAAATTTAGATTTTTTTTTTTATGTAGATAAGTCTATGATGTTCCGGTAGAGAGGAATTGAGTATGGGGTCCTGTAAGAGAATGGGCCAATATTTCTGCAGACCCTACAGGGGGACTAACAGCTACAGATACATCATAACTAGATACATCACTAGCAGCAGACATTGTATCTAGTGATGTATCTGAGCACCTGGCAGGGTCAAAATCAGGATCGGAGTCAGACATAGACATGTCAGACTATAACAAAAGGAGGGCTTTAGGGTCTCACAATAATAAAAAAAAAAAATCACAAAAAAACAAACCCCTAAAAAAATGCACAGACAGCAAAAAAGTGTGCAAAGTGTGTAAATATAGATCTCGCTCCCTCTCTCACTAAAACAAGTGAAGAGAAGGAGGGAGATCCATACTGATGAGAGTCAATATTTACTAATATTGACCTGATCAGACAAATGGGGATCATAGAATAAAATTGTTATAGGGGCAAGCTCTGATTGGATGTCCCTAGCCTGCCTCTATGCTAAGGCAGGCTAGGGACACCCCCAGAAGCCCCATGATGCACTGCCTTTAGAAAGGCAGCACCATCTTGGGAGCCACATGGTTTGGAGGGGAGGGTTAATACATTTATTGTCTATCTTAAAAAAAAAATCGAGGGATCACTGCAATACCATCAGAGCTGCTGGAAGCGATCATGATCGCTTCCAGCGCTCAAATTCCAACCAAGTCAAGAGATATACTGTGACAAATTAGGGACTACTTATTTCCTCTGCTTGACACTTATGGACACTGGGCAGAGCTACTCCGGCCTAGAAGTGTTGATCCCCCAGCTGCCATCAGTGACGGCTGCAGGGAATTAAATGTGCCTATGCTGTAGGTGACATTTGATGATGACGCTCTTTCATCCACCACTGCAGACATTTGCTTTCCACCCAGGAGGAACTCAACTAATGTATGAGCCAGAGGAATTACAAAAGGAGAGGGAGCAGTCACTATTTTCTCCAGCTAAGTAGCACTCACCTTTTGCATCTTCGCCAACTTGAATAAGTCCATCACTATCAACCAAGTGCCAGGGTGTGACATTTCCACTGCCACCAATGGTAAAACTCACATATTCAGCAGGCGAAAGGCAAAGGGTTGAGGCTTATGTGTTGTGCACAAGCAAGTTTGGGATCACTTTTAGTCTCTTGAAGGACAATTTGCAAAGTGCAAGGAAGTAAATAAGGGGAGAATGATGGGTCATTTCACTAGTTATGGCAAGAACCAATATATGCAAATACACCACAAGTCTGTATTACTGAGGGAATAAGCATGAAGAGGAGGTACTAGGACAGACAGCAAGTCCACTGGTACTGTATCTGATTCTGCACAGCTACCTACCACTAGTGGTAACACCTCCACTACAACCACCTTTAGCCTGGGCACAATGCCACTAGGTGACAGGGAAAGTCAGCCAGTTCTCATCATTCCATAACATGTCCACCAATCCACTCTTGAATATTTTGTTGAGTTTCATTCTAAAGGCATTTCAAAACAGTGGACTAACAAAATCAGCCACCTGATTGCACCGCTGATTGCTGTACAATGCAATTATTTTTCAATGATAGAAGGAGAGCCCTTTAAGCAGGTTTGCTCCACAATATGTCATTCCAAGACTCGGAGATTTGCTCTCATCTGAACTGCAGTTCATTCAAATTTGGGCTGATTGGGTGATCGGTCTAATTCCCAAACCCAGAGCCAAAATGAAGAACAACCACGAACCAACCAAAACTGTTTTTTAAAATTTTGTTCATTTTGATTTGTGATTCTAAATTCTGCCACTGATGCCAAAACCAAAATGATCAAAGGGAAAAAAAGATGATTGATGGCTGGGGGACATTCACAACATATCTATTATACATACAGATCAAGTGATAAGTGATTAATAGAGAGGAAAAACAAGGAGGAGCATCCCTGCAGCTGGCTAAGACTGTAGGTCAGTCTGTTCATTTCACCACAGATTTATAGAATATTCATACTAGTCAGCATACCCTCCTCTCCTTCTCAGCACACTGGTGGTAGTCCATGGTGCCTGGGAATGGTGGTGATAAGATGAGGTCAAACCTTAACAGCATGTCAAGCTGAAAATAAATCTGTAGGGCAGCAGGTCTACCAAACCCTCCTGCTACATGTTGAAGTCATGGACAAAAAACATTTTGGCAAACATAATGCAGGCAATCAGACAATGGCAGCCAATTGGTAGGCACCGATGTGTTTAGGTTTGGCTAGTAGTCACCACGGAGCTATTACCCTGGTCAAACCTCTGTGAGATGGTCACTTTGTAGGTGTGTGCGGTTCTGCACACATCCTAGATCTTGCAGTGAAGGGTAAAATTCACAAAGGCAACACAAAGTTACAAACCATACTTGATTGTTGCAGTAAGATTGTCAGGAATCTCCACAACTCTTGAGGTGGGAACTAAAGAAAACAGGGCTTTCCATACACCATCTATGACAGAATGTTGGGACGCAGTCAAACTGCAGTTTAGTCATGCTGTAAAGAGGGTAGTTTTTAGTCTATCCTCTGAATATTTGCATCAACTACCACCTGCGGCATAAGGTTTGGACAATGATAGGAGAACTAGTGTAGGTTTTGTACTCCATTTAGGGATATGACAAACTTTAAGACACAGTAGTGCCAGTTTGAGACAATAGATACCTTTCTGGAAAACAGGAAAGTTGTTCCTGGTGCCACACTTTGCATTGATGTATCTATCAGCAGTGGTCAAGAGGTTGAAAGATGTATTCAAAACTCATATTTGCAAATGAGTAGCTAAGCCCTCAACTGATCTAGCTTCCCTGTGTGATCCTAGGATTAAGGAGAAAGTGGCACACATTGACATACTGGACAGACATACTTCTTGACAGGGTGTGCAATTTGCACCAAACAGAAGCATGCTAGTTGTGAAAGATATGCAGATTGAACCCAACATGCGGTCATGGTCTGCAACTCTCAGCAATAACAATCTCAACACAGCAGAGGGTAGCATGTTTTTGGCAGGTTGGTGGGAGAAGTAGGCCTTTTGGCCCATAGGACGATATGGGACACCCTGAATATTTTGTGTGAGCCGGATTTAAATCCCTTCTCACAATAGGGAGCTTCCTTCTGTCTGCTGGAGCCATTTTTAGTGGCCCCAGATGTTTTAATGAGCTATGTGCAATGCTAGATGTCAGTGCTTCAAGCAGCTCTTTAAATAGGCATTTAAATTCCTACATTGGGATCACTCTGTGAGCAGGGTTAAATCCCTTTTTTTTCTGGGCTACAGGCTGCTTGAATAAGACCCACCAGGGTCTCCCAGCCAACTGCTTAGAACCAATCACAGTGTAATCAGCTGGGAGGCTTCTTTAATATTACAGTGAATGTAGTTATGAAAACAGCCAGTAGATGGTGGTCACAGACCAGTATATACTCTTAACTTTGAAACTAGGGATGTGCATGGGCAAAAAAATTGGTTCGGTACTTCCGAAATTCGGTTCGGCACTTTGGCAACTTGGAACTTCTACCCATAGATGTGTAAGTAGTTATGCTGGGTAGGGTTAGATTCCTGTCATCATTCACATAATTTTTCCTCCCGCTCTTGTTTGGCCACTTTTCAGAAATCCGAAGCACTTCAGCACTTGCAAAATTCAGCACTTCGGAAATTTGGAAGCATCCGAATGTCTGAAATTCGTCCGAATTTACATTCTGACCGAAACTAATTGCACATGTCTATTTGAAACTATTTTTCTAATACCAGAATTGATAATAGCAGAGGGTTTCCTTATGATTATGGATGGGGTTAGTGTTCTAGTAGGGTTAGGACTGGGGTTATGGTAGGGTTAAGAGTAGGGTAGGGTTATTGTTATTTGTAGTGTAAGGGTAGGATAGGGGCCAATCCAGAGTTTGGGCTAATGCTGTTTTTATTAGGTAGCAGGCCTGGACTGGCCCTCGGGAAAATGCCCGGTGGGCCGCGATGGCCATGGGCCGAGGCCAGCTGGGAAG